CTACCATCGTTTTCTCTAGCAATGATTTTCTCTCTACTGTCTCCAACGGGAAGAGCCTTTGTAAAGAGACTAGGGCATAACTTTAGTGAATAGTGGTATTCGTTTATAGTGAAAAGATATTTAACCATAGCTATTTTGGCCATTTCGAAATTATGTTTCTTTCACTTATTGAAAATCCTAAGGGAATTTATGTTACTTTACATGACATTTAACATTGTTAATGATTTTGTACTAGATTAATTGTTAGTTTTGTACACTTTGAATTTCAGGTACTAAAGTAAGATTAACTCCAAAAGTACATGTATTAATTTGTAATTTATCATATAATATAATATATATTATATAATTATAGATAATACATAATTATTTATATAGTAGCTCGGGCTCGCCATGATGGCCTTAACGTGTTGGGAACTCTGGAAGGCCAAAAACGAATTCGCCTTTAATGAATCGTCTTCAAGCCCGAAAGCCATAGCTCTCTCGGCTTCCAAGGTCCTCAAGGAACGCTGCCCCTTCCCAGACGATAGTAGTGATGCTCCTCAGTCGCCTCTGTTGGTTTCAGAAGGCTAAATCCCTCCCTGAAAATTGCATAAAGGTTAATTGTGATGCAGCCTTTTGTGCGAGGTCGGGCACAACTACTATTGCAACAATAATCCAGGATAAAGAGGGGAGAACCATTGGTGATAGAGTGCAGAAAGCTATATGCTCTTTCAGCCTTGGACGCGGAATTGAGAGTTATCAGGCTCGGAGTGTTAGAAGTTAAGGATTTTGCTCCGGTGGAAGCGGTCGTCGAATCAGACTCCAAGTTGGCGATAGAACTAATCAAAAACCGTAAGGCAGCAAAGTTCCATCGTTTTTTAACACAATAGCAGATGTCTTGGGTTTCATTCCTAAACATCAGCCTGTTAATTTCTCCTTCATCCCACGTTGGGCCAACAACTTGCCCACAATGTAGCCCAGTGGGCAAAATCCGAGGGCAGTTGGTGTTACAACACCTTAAAGTTTGATAGTTGCAATCACCTCTCCTAAATTTTATGACATAGTTGCAAGTTGACCCCTTTGTTTGAATTCTTTAAAAGAGGCATGAAAGTGTCCAAAATATCCATTTACTTATTTTTTATCAAAATATTTATTTTCCAGATTTTGTCTAGCCCAAACACTTTCAATCTCTTTTTAATTGATTTATTGTTCAAATTTTCCTGTCATATCAATTACTCAAAGGTAAAGCTGTAACTTTAAATTAATTCTTTTTGTGTTGTTTATAAATTTGTATTGTTTTTTTTTTTTTTTGTAGAAACACGCTTTATTAGTAATTACATGGATATCTTGGATATTTTTGTGCATCTTATTAATGGATTGTAATAGGAGGGATCAATTTACAACCTAGTCATTATAAAGCTCAAGGGAGGTCATTGAAATTACTTAACTTTGGGGGAAGTTTTAATAATGGTAAAAAACTTAAGGGAAGATTTCAATAGTTTACCCTAGATTTTGTTCTTCCCATAATATCTTTAGTTTTTTATTTCAACTTGTTCTTTCATTGAATTTTTCAAGGGTAAATTTCTTAAACTATCCTTATGATTTAGCTAATTGACTAAATATACCCCTACTATTTGACTATTGTCTAATGCTATCCCTATTGTTTCTGACAATTGACTAGCTATACCCTTACTGTTAGCATTCGTTAGTATTCCGTCAAAACTTGTACACACATGATATATAAATTTTTTAAAACCCAATTTTAATTTTACCCTTTTGTCCCTCTCCCTTCTCTTTCCTTCTTCCCCTTCCTTCTCTTTCTCTTCCTTGTTTCATCACCTCAATCTCCGCTCCCCCTAAAATCCATCAAATACATAAATCTCACTGAGACAACCCTGATGTAGAAATCCGTCCAATAACAGAACCCTCTGAAGAGATTTGACCTTCAATATAAGAAACTATAAACCAGAGAAGTGAAAAACCAAGGGCCCTATCAATTGGTGGAATTTGTTTATGGAGATCTAGATTTAAATTAAAAGAAGTTGTTTTGGGTTCTATACTAGGGTAGTGCTTTGGAGACGAAGGAGAAGAGGGTTTAGATCTATCTCTTCGTAGAAGATTCAGTGGTCTGGAGATCTATATTTAAATTAAAGAAATTGTTTTGGGTTCTATACCGAGGTAGTGATTTGGGGATGAAGGAGAATAGTGTGATCGTCAGCATTGGCTCCGGTTCTGAGTCCTCTTCCTCTATTAACGCCATAAATAGTGGCCGTGACACCTTCGTTAGTAAGCCCCACCTTAACCAGTGAAAGAACATATATGGATTGTGGAAGTTTCCAATGATTTGCTCCTTGTCAATGATTTTGGCCAGCAACACCATCTACTTCAAGTGCTGTCTCGTCCTCGAATGATAGAGGATCTTGAGTTGGGGTTTAAACTTGATTTTCTCCTTTGATTTCAAGGGTTTTTTATGACTCTTGAACATGTAATACTTTGCTAACGAAGACGAAGACGATGACGGAGAGCATCCCCATTTTATGATCTTGCAGCATTCACGATATTGTCCTTGTCGACAAGTTTAATAGGACCCCCAAGGTCCAACAACTGTTGCAGGACTTTTTAACGAGAAAGAGCTCTGCAAGAGTATCAACCCTGATGAGGTTGTTTCTTAATGTCTGTGCAACTACCCTTTCGTGCTCCATGTCTCGAGAAATGTAGCTTCAACTACAAATTCGATGTTGATCGATGTTCCAGTTGGGAGGTTTCAATTCTTTCCCATTCAGCGAGTTATTAGCCTGGGCAATCCCTTATTGTCTCAGTAGTGACCTCAATGTGCTCTGCTACCACCAGACCGATCAGTGAGATCCATTAAGGGTCAAAACTTGGGTATGTTGGGACAACCTGATAATTCACTTAAGTGGGTGATCATAGTGATATGATTGACCCCTTTGTCGGACAAAGTGAATGATTGGGCTTACATTCTCTTTGATGAAAACCTAAACTCCTAGCAATGGATTTCAACTGTGTTTGAAATTTAGCTTTGCAAAATATATTTATATGATATATATATGTATTAATGTTTTATGAAAACTATTTGCAAAAGGTTTTAATTACCGATATTCATCTAAGTAGAGAGTGTGACACTACATCTTGTAGCCAAGGGGGAGGTACTTCCTTGTTGAGTAGTGTTTGATCAGTATAGGTCGAGAGGTTAAGTATAAGAAACCATTAAGGGCTGATTACCTGGTGGGATATATCTTACTTAAGTCCATTATCCATGGATTTTTCATAGGATGATTCAATTTAATGATCATTTATGTGTAAATGTTGGGCCCATATTGAGCCCATGGTGATGTGCTCAGGGGTTTAGTACGTTCAACAGTAAAATTGGCTAAGCCTTTTCATAGAGGCTGGGTTAAACCCATGTAGACTTATGTGAGGTCATTGTGGGGTTTCACGCCATACAAATCAGACATAAATTAGCCATACAACATCTTGGTTCATGAACCTTTGAAGGAAATGGGCCTAAGGCCATAATTAATATGATTAATTAAGCTGTCACATGATAGTTTAAGTTTTCACGTGACATAGGGTGAATTTGGGTTTGGATAGTATGGAGAACCTAATCTTATAAGAAGATTAATCTGTCACGTGACAATATAAATTGTCATGTGACATGGGGTGAATTTGGGTTTGGATTTAGGTATGGAGAACATAATCTTATAAGAAAATAAAGTATACCTCTAATTAGAGTCCAGATTTTATTTATATTTGGATTATCTCGTAATTAGATTAGGAGATAATTCCATAAGAGATTATAAAATAGGAGGGGGTAGACCAGTCTAAGATAATTTCATATTTTTGTAGTTTATAGTTATCTCTGCGCCATTTTGTCTCCTAGTTTTTTCCTAGTTCGACATCAACTATCAATGACTATTAGAGATCAGTTTTCTTCTATTTTTTTCAAGAAAAATTTACAAGAATTTCAGGCTCATCTTCCATAGTTCGATCCAAGCAGTTGGCTTGCAGTTTTGATGAAAATTGTATTGCTGAATCAACTTCACTCATACATTGCGCCATTTTCAGTAGAGGCTGGTTTTATGATTGTTTTGAGTTTCTACTTTGAGATTTCCGTTTGTGGTATTTGTATCAAGTATAAATCTCCCTAATTGTTTGGTTTCAAATCTGGTTCAGTTTAGTATAAGATCGATTATAAAAAGTGCAATTTTTCAAAACACAGAGAATTCGATTCTCAAAAGGATTTGAAAATTTTTGAAATTTTGTCCAACTATTTAGCATGGTTTAACTATCCATATGATGGATTATAACCCTTCCAACATCCCATATGCTAAACCCCATCAAGTCAAAGCCAACAAACATCAACAGAATTTGATTCGTCTTGTGTCTATAATTACGGAGAAAAGGTTGAAAAAGCAAAGTTAAGCCCGTGTTTTATCAGTGTGCCACCAAAAACCAAGCTTCTCTAAAGGAGAACAATCCAACTCGTTTGGGGGCACAGAAGAGTACGTATCGCCCGAGGTCATAAGAGGGGAACGGGTTTGTCATCGATTGGTGGGCACTCGAGAAAACCCCATTTCGGGGGAAGAACCGAAAGGAAACGTTTTGGTAACATATTGATGGAATCCATAACGAAGGTGAATAAAGTAATTTGACTTAAAGGATAAAATGGATATTTCAACCATTCCATCAATATTTAATGACAATAATAATTTCATGGAACAATAAGCGTATAATTAGTCAGTTAGCCAAACCACAAGGATAATTTAAAAAATGGCTACACAATGCATCAAACAGGTCCCCACTACTATCTGGATATATGTTATTTAGTATTTACAGGTACAGAATCTGTCCCGGCCCGGTCCATCATCATTTTTTCAACCCTATCGGCCTGTTGTTGTCAAACGGCTCGTAGTGCGCGTTGGAGTAGCTCTCCCTGCACCTGGACGAAAAAGAAAGCGGGAAAACCCTTCTCTTTCGTCTAGCTTCTTGGCAAGGCAAGGAGTAACCATAGTTAGCCAACCCTTCTCTTCATCATTTGTCTAATCCATCCATGGCTTTCTGATTCCAACAACAGAAGTTCAAACTCTTTAATAAGAACATTTAGCGTTCTGAATATCCTTTGTACCGTTAACCATTTTGTCAACTGCCATTTTTACAGGAAAGGAATATATCCTTTAAGGAGAACGAGAGTATAAACTGCACTGATACACCTCGATGGGTATAAAGGTGCTTTTTCTTCTCCTATCACCTACCCCTCTTAATTTCATAATTGTCCGCTTATCTGCATTCGTTTTTTCCCCTCGTTTTGTATAACATATTATCACTTCGTGCTTCAATGTTTGCTTTAGATTCAATCAACCTAGAACTCCATGTCTCTTTTGTTCACTGTATTCGATGCTAGGGTTTAACGAAGCTTCTTGCGGACAATGCTCCCAAGTGCATGAAAGAGCAGAAGTTCGAGAGCTATTTTGGCCGTAAGGTCGCCGTTGATGCTAGTATGAGCATCTACCAGTTCCTCGTCCGTAACTTCCAACCCAAATTGCAAAATATTTTCAATTGTCTTTTAAAGCATAACTAAAGTCGTCTTACCACTCCCCAATTCCAAGGGGGAAAAGAAAAAATTCAAGTGCTTTCTAAAAGTAAAAATATGCTGATAATCCAGATTGTCGTTGGGAGGAGTGGGACCGAAATGCTCACAAATGAGGCTGGCGAAGTAACGAGGTAGGAATTAGAGTTTCCTTTTAAGTGAACTTCAATTGCAGGAAGGAAAAAAAGTTGAATTAATTTAACTCCTGTTCTCTAATATTATATTTCGTTTCTCTCATTGACTTCAGCTTTTAAAATTTGGTACATTATGTTTTCCTTTGTTATGCATTATAGTCATTTGCAAGGAATGTTTACTCGGACTATTAGGCTTCTTGAAGCTGGAATGAAGCCTGTGTAAGTTGTCACTGTTTCCTTTTCCTCAGTATTTCCATATAATAGTAATAGACAGTTCCAGTCACTCATATCATGTAACAATGCAACAGTTAGCTGAATTTCTTATTTTTTGTATTAGTTATGTCTTTGATGGGGCACCACCTGATTTGAAGAAGCAGGAGCTGGCAAAGCGGTATGTTTTCCATTTCAATGGCACTTTGTTACTTATTTGATTTGATTATACGGATGGTAATAGGGTTCATGGTTTATCTTGGGCTATTGTTACTCAATAGTGAATACTATAGTTGCAGTTACACACCTGTAGGAAGAAACTGGCAAGCAAATCAAAGTTAGACAGAGGAAAGGATGAAGATCAAATCTAAAATCAATTTTCCTGGTTCTCTAGGGTTCAGATGCACATAAGAACAACTTCTTTACTAGTAGAAATAATACTTGACTCCCTTATAGTGATTGGAAGTCAACTCTTTGTATCAAACTAATAGAAAGTAAAAGCACTTTTTTTTTGAATTTTGTTTTGATAAGCAACAGTAAAGATTCATGAAAAAACTCCAGACTGCTCATGACAAAGAGTCATAGACTGAACAACAGAAATAGAGCAATACAAGATAAAGGGAAACAAGTGCAATCTATTACAGAGTGCTCCGAAGCCTTGGACAACCCCATTATAGAAGACAGCTTTTAAGGAGTTACCCTACCCAATAGGGCCAGTTAAACTTAGGAGAATTTGTCCATTGTGGTCCATAGGGGTGGACTCGAGCCGAATATCTAGCTATTTGAGCTTGGCTTTTCAATAAACCATTAGGCTCGAGCTCAATTAGAGCTAGATACTTGAGATTGAATTTGACTTGAGTTAAAAGCTCATAAGTTCGAGCTCGGCTCTCGAACTCGATAGTGAGCCAAACATTTTATAAAAATAAAAATATACATATAAAAATTTATTTTTTATTTAACATATAAAAAATCAAGAATTATAAAAACTAGTTATTATTATATATATAAAAAATAAAAATATTATACATATAATAATTTTATATTTATTAATTTTTATATGTATAATATATGTATATATGTGTAAAAGCTTGATTAGGCTCGCGAGACTCATGAGTCGAGCTTTATTGGGCTCAAGCTCGGCTCAATTAGCAAATGAGCCTATATATCAGGCTCAAGCTTGACTCGAAGCTCGATTTAGAATGAGCTGACCTGAGCTCGAATAGCTCGTGAAAAGCTTGGCTCATGTCCACCCCTAGTGATCCCTAACTACTTTGGTACTCCCCCAATGCCTGACTCACCCGGATTCCCAAGGCTGCATCCATCAAAGTCGAATTTGATTTTGCCCAATGCTGGTGCAATTCTCCCCACAGTCCTTTCTGGTTTTACCGTTTTATAGCTTGATAGTCAGCAACAACTTTCCACCCTCCTAGCAAATCATGTAGGGTTATTCCTTTGAACTCATCACACCAAGCCCAATGAGAAACTCTTATCATAGTGTACTCAATTAATCTTATATACTTCATGCCCAAAGGCTCTAGCATTTCTTTCATTCACAGCCCCCATAGAACGGCACCCCATATGCATTGCCATAAAAATTTTCGCCTTGTAAATTGTAGTGCATATCAACCTGCTTATGCTGCATAGATCTTTGACTTCTGTTGGTGCCACCCAAACACATCCTCTCAAAGAGAAAAAAATGTTCCCACATCTGAGAGGCATAAGCACAATGCAGAAGAAGATGGTTGGTGCTTTCCCAACTCTTCAAACAAAGAACACATACATGGGGCGAGAGATACCATTTTTCCACTTCCTTTGGAGCCCATCCAGGGTATTAGTGACTTTATTGACAGCTTCCCAACAGAAAAAAAACCTTTGGAGGGTTAGGACCATCCCTAACTTCTTTAAGTGGGAACAGGTTTTTTTCAACTGGTTGGTAGTGTGTTTGAAAAAGGGATGCACAGGTAAAAATTTCATTGACATTTGGTGCCCACACTCTCATCCAACCCAGAAATACATAGTTTCACCTCTTGAAGTATATTCAGCAAGGATGTTGTCTCACTCATTTCTTAGACCTTCAAAGCTCTCCTCAAACCCAAGTTCCAAACTAACCCATTCCCATCAAAAGATACCAACTCAGCAATATGTTTATTTTTAGAGTTTGACAGGTTTTAAATTCTAGGAAAGGTCTGGAGGAAGGCAAAATTTGCACACCAAGTATCTTCTCAGAGCTTGACTATGGAGCTAGAAAGGTTCTGATATCTTATGTGTTGCAAAACTGTTTCCCAAGGGCTCTTCAAAGTAGAGCTTTTAGCAAGATTCGAGTCCCACTGATGTAGGACCAGCTTAGTTCTTGTCCTTAGAGAATGTTGAATATCTTCTTTGATCAGAATTTTGTGGTTGTTGATGGCTGTAATTGCTTCTTGGAGGAATAAGAGAGAAAATAATAAAATATGGAGGGAAAGAAGAAAGAAAATACCTGGAATCATTGGAGACTCCAATAGAGCTGAGATGTTAGTGGTGGTACAAGGTATTCAGATTGCAGAGCAATTAGGAGTTCAGCACTTGGTAGTTGAAGGGGACTCTGAGATTGTTGTGGGATGGCTGACAGAACCAGATTCAGCTATGTGGCGACATAGAGATATGTTAAGGAAAGTCAACTGGATCACAAGAAACATGACTGTTACCTTTCTTTGGTGGGAAGATCAGCAGATTCCTTAGCGGATGGGCTAGCTAAACAAGGGGCTTCAAGGGAACATTTATTTTGGGCTGCTTTGTAATTTTAGTTCTGGTTATTTCTGGTCAATTCTGTTTTAATTTGATGTAATACTTGTTAGAAGGGGTAACAACTCGTGCCTCCTCTTGGGTCTCCTGTATTGCCATATATTTTTGATTTAATAAATTATATTCATTCATCAGAAAAAAAAACCTGGAACCACTCACATGGGGCCTAGAATCACTCTAGGGCAATGGAATCACTCACCAATTCACCATAGTTAGCATAAACTGAAGAAAACTCAATAAACTTCATTGCCTTTGTGTAAAATGTCCATACATATTTATAGACTTTAAACTTAATAATCTTAGGAGTCAAACTGTTAGATTCATACTAGTCCTAGGAGTCAAACTGTTAGACTCAATAATCCTAGTAGGACTCAAACTAAACCGTCATATTCTATTTCAATTCAAAGAAGGCTCAATAACTCTAATCCTACTTATGCAATGACTCTGAAATTTTAAACATAAATAAACTATAACTAGACAAATTAAACCCTATCATTGGACCCAACAGGAAATTGCAAAATGACAAAAATACCCCTACTGTCCAAAAATACATAAAATTTCATAAAATTCCAATTTTGACTCTTCAGCTCCTGCAACCCACCCATTAGGGTGCAATGCATGGATTCTTTTAATTACCAAATGCCACAATGTCTCTTCTTCATTAGCAATAATCAAAAAGAAAAATATCCTCTTCCTTAGAGAATCTCGACAACCATTTACCCATTGAAGCCAAATTCTTCTCCTTCACCCTCCCAATACCTAAACTACCCCCTCTTTAGGCTTACACACCTTCCCCTCAATTCATGAGTTGGTCTTTCTTATCACTTCCTGGGTCCCAAAGTCCCTAATTATTTTTTCTATTCTCTGCACAATTCTTGATGGAGCTTTAAAAACTGACAAGTAATAGATGGGGAGGTTGGACATGGTGGATTTAATTAAGGTCAACCTTCCACCTTTTGAAATGTAATTCTTTTACCAATTGTCCATTTTCTGGCAAATCTTTCAACTACCCCCTCCCAAAAGGAAACATATCAAGGGTTACTCTCATGTGGTAGGTCTTTATCAGCAATTGCTTGATCTTACACCCCAAAATTGCAGCACACTTCCAATACCTAACTGCTTGTTTCTTTTAATTTGAACCACCAAAACATCACCCAATAATTTACTAAACGAAAATACCCATAAAGTTCACATGATTTTATTTAAAACCAACAATTTCTTGAACTTTTCTTGAAGTTTCCCTGAAGTTTCTCCATTTCCCCCATGGGATGAAATAGAAACCTTCTGGAATAAAAATATTCCAAATACTTTAATTTGATCTGTGAATAATCAAATATTTCTCAGAGATTTCAGAGTTTTTTTGATATATCTGTGAAAGCTTCATTTTATTATGTGTAAAAAATCCAACTTAGACAAAATACTGCAGAAATTTAATTAGATTTTCCAGAAGCAATTTGAAACAATCATAAGGTGTAAAAATCATTTGAACTTTCTTTTGGCATAAAGTTAAGACAAAGTATTTTGGATTTAATGATTCTAGACTTTTGAATCAACAACTCCGACTGGATTTTTTTTTTCAGAATATATAAAGATTCTTAAAAGTTTAGTTAAATAATTAATTAGTAATAATTTGATTATTACTATAGGGTAATAATAATTAATATTTCTTGTCTTATACCCATAGTTGTCATGGCGTCTAGGCAACACTGGGTCTCCTAGTCGCCTAGTCGGGGTGCCTAGGTGACAAGAATTTTGTAATATAAAGAACTAACTTTTGGCTAGTTCCCCCTACATTTTTATATACCAGTCAGCATGCATATTAATTGAAAAAATAGTAATTATATTTATTAAGAACATTAACTTTCCTCATTGATAAAAAAATTAACTTTCCTCTAAAAATATGGCAAACCATCATATCTAAAAGATAAAAATCTTTTAAATATATTAATTCCATTATTTTCCAAAATAATACTACTATATTAAGTATTTAATAGAGCAGTTTCATATCAATTAGCAACTAAAGTGTTAGGAACTGCCTAACTCAAGGACTCTTTCGAGGGAGCTTGCTTCCTGAATGAGAGAGAGAGAGAGAGAGAGAGAGACTGTATTCCCAAATCGATAATACCCTCCTAACTTCCTTTCCTTATTTATATACTACTGTTACAATTCTGTTATACCAGCCTTTCCACTTGTCTAATCCACTTGTCTAGTTTGTTATTTAGTTTTTTCTAGTGGTCGACTGTTAGTTATATTCTTTAAAGGCTGGCATGGCCTTTTCTTGTACACTTGTATCCCTTTATTTGTGTCTCAGCAGTCCCTTTTCTACTGCTGCTACTGCTGTAGACCCTTTCTCATATGGGAGTAGGGGAGGTGGGTCCCGTCCATATAGAGCCCGAAAGG